AGGCAAAACACCCATATACATAAAATAAAAAAGTGGAAGAAGGGGGCATGGATTAAGGAAGCACTAAGTTCTTCCTTGGCTCAGCATTCATTCATTCATTCATTCATTCATTCATTCATTCATTCAACACTCATTGATGCCTGCCTCCTGTCAGTGTCTGGAACTGGAGCAAGGAAGCAATGTTGTATGGAGCTCTGAGTTTCCATCTATACGGCTGTTGCAACTTCAGAGGTGACTAGCTAGGGCAGGGTTTGCGAAGACTCTCCCAGTGAGGACTGAAGGCATGGCTCAGTGGTAGGTCTTTCCTAGTATTCTCCCAATAATGGGCTGGAAGTGCTGCTCAGTTGTAGAATATCTGTCCCAGAATCCTCTAGTGGCAGGTGCTTGTCTAGAATCCTCCAGGGAGGGCCAAAGGGTGGGGCTCAGGTGTAGGGTACCTAGCACACACCAGACTCTGGCTCCATTGCTAGCACTGCAAATAACAGGACAAATAGGCAAGGCAAATGGTCCTGTCTGTCCCCCAAAGCAGCACTGTCTCTCCTAGATGCACCCAGCGTCACCTGTCCAAAGCAGTACAAGCGGCTAGGCACCTTGCAGAGCAACTTTTGTGCCAGTAGTCTGGGTAAGACTCTCCATCCTGCCTTCCGGACTCCCCACACCCTCATCCAAGTCCAGCCCTAGCCACTTGACTCTTATCTCTCATCCCCGTCCTTCCACAGTGGTGACTGGAACAGTCAAGACCATGGTCCGAGGCCCAGGGGAGGGACTCACTGTCACCATCAGTCTCCTTGGTGTTTACAAGAGCAGAGGACTGGACCTGCCCTCTCCACCCAGTGACACCTCTCTGAAGCTCTATGTGCCCTGCAGGCAGATGCCCCCCATGAAGAAAGGTAAGGGGCGTGGGAAATGGGTGGGTACTGAGCACACTGTAATCATAACGGTGCAAGATCTGATCAAGTTGTCACAAATCTTACTAACTTGAGCTCTCAATCCCCCCTTCCCCTCCAGGAGCCAGTTATCTGCTGATGGGTCAGGTGGAAGAAAGCAGAGGGCCCATCCTCCCTCCAGAGAGCTTTGTGGTTCCCTACAAGCCCAACCAGGACCAGATCCTCAATAACCTAAGCAAGAGGAAGTGTCCCTCCCAACCTAGGCCAGCTGCCTGAGGTCCGAGCCAGATGCAACCTCCGTGTATGGTGCTCTCATCCAAATAAATGTTCCTAACTCAGGAAAGGATCATATATCAGTTCTATGGTTGTATGTGGGGGTATGTATCTTGCATTTCAGAACACTTTTTTGTTTGAGGATGAACCTGGGCTTACACAAGCTAGGCAAGTGCTCAATCTACAGCTGAAGATGCTACTGTATCTTCAACCTTCAGAATACTCTTCTAATTACATATGGTAGGGAGCCAGGTGGTGGTGGATTCCTTTAATCCTAGTCCTTAGGAGGTGGAAGCAAGTGGATATCTGAGTTCAAGGCCACCCTGGTCTGCATAGCAAGTTCCAGGACATCCAGTGCTACACAGAGAAACCCTGTCTTGAAAACACAAAAACAAACAAACAAACAAAAGAATATATAGTAAGGGCCAGCAAGCTGGCTCAGTGGGTAGAGGTACAAATACACTGTGGCACACGCAGGTGTGCACACACACTTTAATAAAACACAACAAAAGGAGAAGTTGCTTAGTAAAGTGCTCATATGGCGATTCCCAGCACCCATGAAAGTAACCAGGCACAGCAGGACGCACCTGTGACCCCAGTTCTGGGCAGGCAGAGGTAAGAGGATCCATGAGACTTGGTAGCTAGCCAATCTAGCCCAGCAAGCTTCTATTTAGGTGTCCAAACAAGATTGACTGATGAGATGGTTGCAGGGCTAAAAGCACTTGCCATTATGCCTGATGATCTGAATTCAATCAGGAAACCTGTATGGTGGGAAGAGAATGAGCTTCAACAAGTTGTTCTCTGACTTCTACACGTGCACTGTGTGATGTGTATCATGGCACATATGTTCCCACAAACATACATGATGTACCAAAAAGAGAAATTTAAGTATTACTTAAAAGTAAGTAATAAGGTGAAGAGCAACTTAGGAAAGCACCCACTGTTGACTTGTGGACACCATACTATGTGCACACACCACATACAAAATGAAAACTACAAAGTAGAAGCTGAGTATGTAGGGCTGGAAACATGGCTAATCAGAGTTCTGGCAGCTATTCCTGAGCTGGGTTTGGTTCCCAGCACCCACATGGTGGCTCTGTAATCAGTTCCAGGAGATTCAATATCTTGTTTTGACCTGTGCAGGCAGCAGCGTGCAAGTGGTCACAGACATACATGCAGGCAAAGCACTCATACACATAAGAATAAGCCTTAACACCTCTCTCTCTCTCCTCTCTCTCTCTCTCTCTCTCTCTCTCTCTCTCTCTCTCTCACACACACACACACACACACACACACACACACCAGAAATCCCAAGTAAAAGCTGAATGTGTGCTCCTGTAATCACAATATGTGGGAGGTGGAGGCAAGATGATCATGAGTTCAAGTCCAGCCTGGGCTACATAGTAGTTGGATGTCAAATCTGAGCTATACAAGATTGTCATGCTTTAAGACATTAGAAGGGGGGCTGGAGAGATGGGCTCAGCAGTTAAGAGTACCAACTGTTCTTCCAGAGGTCCCAGGTTCAATTCCCAGCACCTATATGGCAGCTCAAACCTTTCTGTGATTCCAGTTCCAGGGGACCCAACACCAATGCACACAAAATAAAAATAAGTTAAAATTCCCCACAAAGGTCATCTCAAAAAAAAAAAAAGCTAGAAGGGCTAGGTCATGGTGGTGCACACCTTTAACCCCAGCACTCGGGGAAGAAGCAGGTGGATCTCTGAGTTTGAAGCCAGCCCAGTTTACCAGGGCTACACAGAGAAACCTTGTCCTCATCCCCAAAAAGCAAACAAGTTAAAAGAATCTAAGTTAGATATTGCCATCCAGTGCTCCCAGAGGTGAGAAGTGGTCACTGAGGTGGCTTCTTGCCGAGCCTGACTACCTGAGTTCTCTCTTCAGGACTCACACAGTGGAAAGACAGAACCCACTCCAGCAAGTTGTCCTCTATTTCTAAAATGCACCTTACACACACACACAATATAAACAAGGCTGCAGAGATGGCTCAGTGGTTAAGAGCACTGGCTGCTCTTCCAGAGGACCCAGGTTCAATTCCAAGCACCCACATGCAGCTCACACCTGTCTGTAACTCCAGTTCCAGGGCTTCTGACACCTTCACACAGACATATATGCAGACAAAATACCAGTGCACATAAAGATAAAGTATTAATAAATAAATGAATTAATTTTTAAAATTCTAAGGATGGTTCTCAAAATAGAAGCCAGTTTCACTGTGGGCCTTTGCTCTCCAGAGTTTTTCCTCATCACATACTGTTTCCTCTGGTACCTCACTGTTCCCAATTCATTCCTCTTTCCTTTTTCTTTTTTAAGATTATTTATTATGTGTATACTGTCCTGCCGGCATGTATCCCTGCAGGCCAGAAGAGGGCACCAGATCTCACTACAGATGGTTGTGAGCCACACCATGTTGTTGCTGGGAACTGAACTCAGGACCTATGGAAGAGCAGCCAGTGCTCTTAACCCCTGAGCCATTTCTCCAGCCCCCCCCCTTTTCTTTTGTTATTGTTTTAAATAGTATTTCATTATCTTGTCTTGCACGGTCTTCAGCTTACTGTGTAGCCCAGGCTAGCCTTGAATTTGCAGTTGTTTCTCCAGTACTGGGATGGCAAGTGAGTGCCTACTCCACCCCCAAACCCCACTACCTCTTTTCCCTTTGTTTTCAAGGCAAGGTTTCTCTGTAGACCAGGCTGGCCTCAAACTCACAGAGATCCACCTGCCTCTGCCTCCCGAGTGCTGGGGTTAAAGGTATTTGCCTCTAGCTCCCCATTCCCCGCCAGCTTCTTTTTTCCTAACCACCATATTAATTACAGATAACTAGTTTTAGAAGTATGATGACCTTCCCATGGCATTTTTATACATTTGATCACATTCACCACCACTATGTCTCTTGTGCCCCATTCCTGTGGATTCTCTTCCCAAGTAGTTCTCCTGCCTTCTTAGTGGTTCTTTTTTTGTTTGTTTTGTTTTGTTTTGGTGAACTGGTAAGTTTTATTAGGGCTGCTTCCAAGAGCATAGAAAATGTAATAGTGGTTATCCCAAGAAAGAAAATGTCCCTTCCTAGCAACCATTATCCACCTATAGGGACGGGAAATCGTAAGCAACTCTTTTAAAAAGTCTTTTTCAAAAGGGCTCAAGAGATGCCTCAGAGGTTAAGAGCGTTAACTGGTCTTCCAGAGGTCCTGAGTTCAATTCCCAGCAACCACACACCATCCTCAATGAGATCTGATGCCCTCTTCTGGTGTGCAGGCAAACATGCAAAAAAAAAAAAAAAGTTTTAAAGCTTTATTCGTGTACATCGAGTGTTTTGTCTGTATGTATATGAAGGACATACCGTTAGAGGGTCAGATGAGGGCGTCGGATCCCATGAAACTGGAGTTATACGTGGCTATGAAACATTAAGTGAATGCTGGAACCGAACCTGGGTCCTTGTAACTGCGGAGCTAAGCCTTCAGCACCCCTCCCCCACCCTTTTTAAAAGTGTAACCAAAGCTGGTCGAGGCTCTTGCTTCACCCGGTTCTGTTTATTGATTACTGACTATTAACCTTACGTCATTGTGCACACGTGTTTTCTCAGGCACAAGCAGGAAGGAAAGAAAAGGGAAATGAAAAAAAAAAGTCTAGTAACTGCTGAGCTCAGAAAAATAAACTCCAGCTCGTTGCCCAGCCCCTCCTCTCCGAGTTACTATCCCACCAGTGTTGGAACTCGGGACCCGTAAAATACTAGCTCAAGATGCAGCCAATCATTAACTCCGAGAGAAGACTGTTTGGTCTTTGAAGAGGGCCAATCAGCGTACAGTTGGGCGGAAGCGAGACAGCATTGGCCAATGAGAGAGGCCGTACGGCGGAAATGCATTAAGGAACTTTCGGGAAGATGGCGCCCTTAGCCTGGAGACAAGTTGACTGGAGGAAACTTTGACTACAAGGTGATAATCGTAGGACGAGCGGCCATTCAGAGGCGCAATGCCGGAGAGGGCACAGGCCGAGCTTAAGGAGATGGGTCGGAGGCACAGCCCGGTGACATGGAGATCAGGAAGGCTCAAGAGGAAAGAGTCCGTCAGGAGACCGGAGCGGGAACGCCCGGAAGGGGCGGGGCTTACTGCACCATACCAGAAGACCCGGATTGGGAAGCGAATGGGCGGGCCAGATTTTAGCCAAGTGGGCGTGGCCATTGCGGTGCGGTTTGGAGGCGGGACCTATAGGAACCTGGGGCCCAGCTGGCAGGGGTTAGGGCTTGGGGCTGCAGGATCCACAGCTAGCGGAGTACCGAGGCGGCTGTGACACCAGGCCACGCTCTGCCACGATCTTTTCGTCCTTCGCGCCACTAGCCCTAGACTCCAAGGCCCTCTTATCCTTCTGAGATCTGCCCTCGGATGTCCGACCGCCCAGAGCCTGCATGCGCCGTGGGGCGCCCCAGGACCAGGAGCTGGTGGGTCCGGGGGCCCCTGGGCGGGGGCCCCGGGGCTCCCCTTCTTCCTCAGGACCCGTTGTCCCGGTGCTCGTCTTTCCTCCGGATCTAGTATTCAGGGCGGACCAAAGGAGTGGACCCCGACAGCTGCTGACCCTCTACAACCCCACGGGAACTGCGCTTCGCTTCCGAGGTGAAGAGATGGGCGCCTAGATCTAGGGCTCTGGGGATTGGTTGCAGTGTATGGAAGGATTGTGTGGGCTAGAGGAATTAGTTAAGTAAGAGGCAAGATGACCAGCTTTGGATCTGTAAAAATGATGTTCGTCTCTGGGGTGGCTGACAGAAGGGGCTCTGGTGACCCACCATGAGCAAAATTTGCCTAAGGACTCTTTGTGTATCTTTATCCCACAGTTCTGTGTACAGCGCCCGCCAAATATACGGTATTCGATGCAGAAGGATATGTGAAACCTCAGTCTTGCATTGACATGTGAGTGGGGAGGGTAGGGGAGCAGCCAGGCGTCTCTGCCACCTGTTGCCTTTGGGCTGAGACATTTTCACCTGTTGGCTACAGTCACTCTGGGAAAAGTTTCTGGGGGAGGAGATCTGGATTCACTTGGTTGGTTGCTTCTCACTTACTTCCTCCCAATGAGCCAGTGTGATACGGCACGTGGCCCCTGTCCCCAGCCACTATGATGTCCAGGACCGATTCCGAATTGAGCTATCAGAGGAGGGGGCTGAGGGACGTGTGGTTGGACGAAAAGACATCACCTCTGTTCTTCGGGCCCCAGCATACCCCCTGGAGCTTCAGGGACATTCTGAGCCAACGTCCAACCCAGGGCCTCCTGTGTGGACAGGACCAACCCCAGCCAGACACCTTCCAGAGAGTGAGTTGAACAGATTCTTTGTGTTTGTGGTGTTGTGCATGTGGGTTCTTGTGTGTGGGTAGGTACATGGGTTCATGTGTGTGTGCATGCCTCTGTGTGTGTGTGTGTGTAGGCCAAAGGTTAATTTTACTCAGCCTCTCTCCACTTTTATTTTTTGAGACAGAATTTCTCCCTGAACCTAAAGCACATTGATTTGGCTAGAATCTAGTATCTGCCTGTCTCCACCACCCAAAGACTGGGTTTATAGGCACACACTGCCATACCCAGGTTTTTCCGTGGGCTCTGGGGATCTGAACTCAGGTCCTCAAATATTTACACTGTCAGCCTTTTACTGAGTCATCTCTCCATGGTTCTTGGTTTTCTGTAGCACTTTACCTAGTAGCACCCGTACCTAGTCATACCAAGAAAACACTCTACTACTGAGCAGTATCCCCAGCCCCGAAGTGGGGACGAGACTCCTGAATTCTATAGGGAGAGAAGTAGTAGCATTACCCTAAAAATTGACTAAATGAGGTTTGAAGAAGTCTCTAGGTTCAGGGGTGTGTGTATGTGTAGATGTTTCTTGGTGAGGGTTTCTATCAGGTGAGCGAACATGACGACTTTACAGTTGTCCTGGTTTCCAACTTCTAATCAGAGGGACAAGTTCTTCCCTTGCTCCAACTGCAGTGGCTCTTATACGGTGCCAGCTACATCCAGTTCAATAAGAAACCTGTACTGAGCGGTCATGCTCTTCTGTGCTGGGCATGGCACAGCCCAGAACACTAGGTACGCAGTACTGAAGTCGTGGAGGGACCAGAGGACAGAGAGCTTCTTAGAGCTTCAGAACAGAGGCTCTAAGGAGGAGAGGACATCCCAGGGTACCCTTGGAGGGCGATAAAATGTAAACACAAAGGCCAGCATGATGGCACAAGCCTGAGATGCCACCATTTAGGGGATCAGAAGGAAGGAAGGAAGGATCCAGGTTCCAAGCTAGCCTGGGCTACACAGTAGGCTTTGAAAAATGGGGGTGAAGTGGGAAGATTCCTCAGTTGGTAAAGTGTTTGCTACAAAAGAATAAGGACCCGGGTTCAGTTCCCAGAACCTATGACATGGTAACATTATTTTTGAAATTCCAGTTCTGAGGAGGCAGAGACAGGCAGATCCTTGGGGCTGGCTAACTAGTCAACCAGTTTAACAGAGAAGTCCCATTGAGAGACCTCATTCCCCCCAAAACAAGCTGGAATGTTCCCGAGGAACCAAACTTGAGGTTGGCTCTGTACATAACACACATGTGTACATGTACCCACCCACTCACATCTATACACACTGAAGAAAGATAACCAAAGCCAGATATGGTATTGCACACCTGTAATTCCAGAACTTGGGAGGTAGAGACAGGAGGATCAGAAGTTCAAGACTATCCTTGGCTACCTAATGAATTTGAGGCTATCCTAGACTACATACATGTGAGTCCCTGTCTCAAACAATATACGAGCAAACCCCAAACAGAGTAACTTCATCTCCTGTGTTCATCCTGATCCCTGGCAGACCTTGGACCAGCAGAGCTCATGTCCTTCCTTTTGCAGATGCCCCCCAGCAGCTGGCCACCAGCTCCTTCCTGCTCTTCTTGCTGACAGGCATCATCTCTGTGGCCTTCCTGCTACTGCCACTGCAGGACGAGCTTGGCAGCCAGCTGCCTCAAGTCCTGCACGTGTCCCTGGGACAGAAGCTGGTGGCAGCTTATGTCTTAGGTGAGCATAGTAGAGAACTTGGGCCCACTTCCAGAGGAAGGGTGGGGAGGAAGGCTCCTGCATGCAACCTCTTTCTTTTCCCACCCCCAGGCCTCCTCACCATGGTGTTCCTCCGGACCTGAACTATCAGCTGAACCTACCCCACCCACCCTCTCCTTCGAAGGCAGGGACCTGAGGCAGCCACTGTGATGTTTGCACCTCGCCCCTTCTCCCTCTTTTCTGCCCATCCATCCGTTGTCATCCTGTCCCCACTACCAAACACCCAGGGATTTATATTCATTTTCCAAATTGAATAAAATAAGTTTTAAAAATCAAGATTGGAAATGTTGGATGCTTGTTCCTGGTGTCTCCCTTTTTTGTTTGTTTGTTTTAATTTAAATGGTGTATGCATGCATGCATGCATGCATGCGTGCTCGCACAGAGGTCTCTACGTCGTGAGTGCACATGCAAGCACAGAGATTAAAAGGCATTGAACTCAGGTCATCAGACTTGGTGGCAAGTGCCTTTACCCACTGAGCCATTATGCCAGCCCCCGAATTTTATTTTTTGAGGCTCTCACTGAACCTGGAGCTCACTGATGGGCTGGGTTCCCTGACTAGTGAATTCTACCTCCGCTTCCTAGTGCTGAGGTTACACATTCACTCAGCTGCACTGTTAATTGATAGCTTCTAGACTCACCTGGGAGACTGGCTGCTGAGCATCAAGAGGGTGATCCTAATTAGGTTCACTGAGGTGGGAATATCCACCCGGTGTGTGGGCTGCACCATTTCCTAGGTCAGCCCTGGGATGGATGGAAGGGAGAGGGAACTGAGCGCTGCAGCCTCACTCTGGAAACAGGTGTAGTGTGACCAGCTGACTTGAAGCTGCTTTGACTCCCTGCCATGATGGACCGCACTGGAACTGGGAGCTGAAACCACTCTTCAGAGCAACAGGAAAGGAACAGAGACAGACACCGTGGGTGCTGGGATCTGAACTCAGGTCCTCATGCTTGCATGGCAGGCGTAGTAGTGACTGACCCAGCTCCCTTGCCCTCCCCACTCTTTTCCTTGTAAAATCATTTTAGTTTTTTTTAATTTTGGTTTTTCGACACAGGGTTTCTCTGTATAGCTTTAGCTGTCCTGGAACTTGTTCTGTAGACCAGACTGACCTCTACCTCTTAAGTGCTAGGATTAAAGGTGTGTGCCCCTATTGCCCATAAAATAATTTTTTATTTTTAATGCATATTTCTTCTTATGTGTATGAGTGTTTCTGCTTGCACATATGTGTGTGCAACTACATGCATGCCTGGTGCCTTGCAGAGATCATGGGCTGGGGACTGGCTCAGAGGTTAAGAGCACTGGCTGCTCTTCCACAGGTCCTAAATTCAATTCCCAACAACCACATGGTGGCTCACAACCATGTATAATGAGATCTGATGCCCTCTTCTGGCATGCAAGCAGAAAACTGAATACATAATAGACAAAAGGGCTGTCAGATCCCCTGAAACTAGAATTGCAGATGGCTGAGGATTACTGTGTTGGTTCTGGGAACTAAACCTGGGTCCTCTGGAAGAGATGCTCTTAACTAATCATTGAGTCATTGGTCTCCAGTGCCACCACCCCACCCCTTTTCCTGATACCCAGATAGTCTCTTGTTCCTCCCACTATCATTCCCAGGGATGCAGGGAAAGTTAAAGGGCAAATTAGTAAGACGGTGTCTCAAAAAGTCAAAAGCAGGCTAAGCCACACTGGCACAGGCAGAGACAAGTAGATCTTTGTGAATTTGAGGCCAGCCTGGTCTACTCAGTGAAACCCGGTCTCAAAAAAATATGAAGACAACAAAACAACAATAGCAGAAACCAAAAGAGTGTTAGGATGTGGCTCAATAGCAGAGCACTGGCCCGGTGTGGTCCCTGGGTTCAATTCCTTTTACTGAAGAAAAAGGACCACCAGCCCCCCCACACACCATTAGAACTAGGGCTTCAGCTCTGTAGTTGAGCAGTTGTCAGCATGCCTAAGACTTTGCTGTCCTTCCTAAGCACCATTAAGCATAAAAAGAAAAAAATCCCTTCACTGGAACAATAGAATTTTGCCCCTCAGCCAGTATACCTAGTCTAAAAGCAAACATCTGTGAGGTTTTCTTGACTAGATAATTTGAGTCCAGAAGGCCCATCCTAAATCCCAGGAAGAAGGAAGCTTTTGCTCATTGCCTGCTTGCCCTCACTCTCCTGGCCAGTTCATCTATCCTGTTGCTGAGGCGTTCCTTCGCTGTGTTAGAATCTGCTTCTTCGGGACTCCAGCATAGGCTGAGGACCAGCAGCTCCCCAGGAGTCCTCCGGGCTTCCGGCACCAGACCAGGAGTGCTGAGACTTCCAGTGTCGGGGACCGGTCCTTGGTCTTCCCATCAGGAGACTGCCATCAGGACTAACCCAGACCACAGCCTGTAAACCACTCCACTAAATCCCCACCCCCACACACTTTTTATACAGATATGCATTCTGTCAATCCTGTTCCTTTTAGAGAACCCTGACCAATACACTAAACACCCCGATTTTAAGCAGACAGAGCCCCTTTGCTGGGTCACACACACACGGGTCATCCCCAGGAGACTTTGCTAACTTCGTGACTGCCCGGCCAGCTCTGCCTTACCTCTTTTAGTAGGCTTTTTGAGCCTATGCTGTTGTCATTGTTTTTTTTAACTTTTATTTATTTTTGGAGGAGGGGACTGACACAAGCATGCCATGGCCTTCAAGTGAAGGTCAAAGGGCACTTTGTGGAATTCCAAGCTCCACTACTACCAGGTGCGTTCCAGAGATCAAACCAGGTCATCAGGCTTGGTGGCAACCATCTTTATTCACTGAGCCATCACTGACAGCCCCAGACCTATGTTGTTTATTACCTTTTGTTTCATGGCAGAATCTCATGTAGCCCAGGCTAGCCTCTATTTGTTATGTCATGGAGGGAAACCTTGAATCCCTAACCCTGCTTCTCCCTCCTGAATGTTGGGATTAGGAATATGCATCATTACACACCCCATTTATGCTAGGGATGAAACAGAATCCTGTGCCCACTGGCCAAGCACCTGACAATGGGGCTGTGTACTCAGCCCTCTTTCATTGCTGGGCTGACTTGTTTTTTGTTTTTTTGTTTTTTGGCTTAAATAAAAAATTATATATATATATATATATATATATATATATATATATTCTGTTAGTCTGAGTGCACGTACGTGTACCATGTGCAAACAGACACCCATGCAAGCCAGAAGATCATGTCAGAACCTCCTGGAACTGGAGTCACAGGTGGTTGTGAGCTGCCTGATGTGGGTGCTGGGAACCGAACCCTGCTCCTCTGCAAACAGTGAAAGCCCTTCATTGCTGAGCCATCTCTCCAGCCCCGTGCTGGTGCCTCTTTATGACCTCAGCTCCCGTGGATCAGAAACCCCGAGGCCCCTACTGAGATAGGCGGCCTGACAGACCTCACTCTAACTGAGTGGTAAACTGACACAGCCAGAGAACAGGGCCTTCAGAAGGTAGCCTCTGGTCTCACGGCCCCCCTTCAGATGCAGGGGTGTGGTGGAGAAGGGAGAGCTAGGGACACTAGACACATGGTTGATTGACAACCAAGAGTCAGCAAGATAACGTAAGTCTGTTACATGGATGAACGCTATCAGTTTCCCCAGCTAGGCTGTGGGGGGCTTTGGGGCTTATGCTTTCAGAGGGTTAAAGTTCACTGTGGCAGAGTGAAGGTAGCAGGCGGCATGGGGCTGGAGCAGTAGCCCAGGAGCTCACATCTTGAACACAAGCATGAGCACACTGGGAATTAGACTTTTGAAAGAAACCTCAAAGCTCACCCAAGCCCACCCCAGCCTATCTCTTCCAATAAGGCAAACAACTACCAGCTAAGAATCGAGTATTTAAACACCTGAAACCAGCTCAACTTCAAACCACCAGCTGGAGTTAGGGGCAGTTGTAAGCCACCTGATGTGGGTGCTGGAAATTTAATTCACATCTTTTGGAAGAATAGTATATGTGGATCTCTGTGAGTTCAAGGCCAGCCTGGTCTACAGAGCGAGTTCCAGGACAGGCTCCGAAGCTACACAGAGAAACCCTGTCTCAAAAAAAAAAAAAAAAAAAAAAAAAAAATTAAAAAAAGAAAAAAGGTTGCACCACCACACCTTGTGGTTAACAGCTCTTGGCGCTCTTGCAGAAGATAACGGTCTGGTTCCCATGGTGGCTCACAATCATCTATAACTCCAGTCCCAGGGGATCTGTCATCCTCTCCTGGCATCTCTGGGCACCAGGCATATACTGGGTGAATGTACATACATGCACTCATACAAATAAAACAAACAAATACACCTTCTAAAAATGTATAAATAGCACAAGAAGCCCATTCTGCCTGACAGGTAGGTGCTACCATGATTGGTTACTTCTTCATTTTCACTTAGCCCTAAAGGTCCAATACCTAACATACTCTGTAATCCTAGCATTCAGGAGGCTGATCCTAGGATCTTGAGTTCAAGGCCAGCTTGGCTACACAGTGAGCCCTGGTCTTCCAAAGAAGAAGCTGGCTGGTAGTGGCACATTCCTTTATTTAATCCCCACAGATGGGAGATAAGAGATGGGCAGATCCCTGAATTCAAGGCCCACCTAGTCTCTAAAATGAGTTTCAGTACAGCCAGGGATATGCTGAAAAATCATGTCTAAAAAAGAAATCCCTATATCCATGTAGTCACATTCTGAAGTGTTGAGAGGCAAAGCTTCAGTTGATGGCTTTGGGAACTCCAAGCACAATTCAGATCTTTAATCTTAGCCAGGCACGGCAGTACATGCTTTTAATCCCAGTATCTGAGAAGCAAGAGGCAGAGGACTCAAACGTTCATGGTAACCCCTTGGAGAATTCCATGCAGCCTGAACTACATGAGGCTCTGCCTCAAAAACAAAAAGGAGGGTGAGGAGGAGGAAGTAGAAGGAAGAGGAGGAGGAAAGAGACCCTGAGTCCCAACTGCATAGCCATTCTGCCTACCAGATGACATTTATCGACCTGTATGGGGGGGGGATGATAATGTGGGCATCTTCATCTTTGTGAGTGTCATTCTTCTGTCTGCACAAGAGGGGAAGAAGGGTTGTAAAACTCCACTGAAAAATGTATAAAGGAAGGTAACAGTTGAGGTTTCTGATCCCAGTTCAGGTCCAAGGTCCTGCGAACCTAGCAAGTCAGTTTTGGTGGCAGAGAGAAGATGCTTCAGAACCTGGAGCATCCCAAGCTCTAGATGAGGAGATCTCTACTTCCCAGTGCCGGAGGAGCTGTGTGAGACCTCCCAGACTATACTAT